TTCATTATTCAAAAGTTTTGAATTATTAATGTGCTTCCAGTCAGAATGGAAGCTTATAGAGACTAACTCACTCATGTCTTGCACATCGCGCAAAACATTCTTAAGACTGCCAGGATAGGTCGGCAGCCAGACCTGCCAGACAGAGAGGATGGTTGGTACAAATGGAGTTTAATATGTCATTCAATTTCCACGTACAGCTGTGAACTCATAACCTAGCGAAAGGGAACTCGGTACCCAAGTGAGATCCTGCAGCAGTTCCAACTTACCGTAACTTGTTTTACTGGGTACTTGGAAGGATGGCTCCTTCATGCAGTTGCTTAGTATGCCATACAACTGCTGTATCTGGCCTGCCTGTATTAATTATTAATAAAATGATTTCATTTCTTATACCTGCTCGTTGTGTTCTCTCATTTTCATGGTTCCATGTGCGAGTATACGCTATGTCGGGCATACAGCATACTTACTGCAGTTTGGCCCTCTTGAATCGCATGCTACTGGGGTGTTTGTAATGACTCCAGGCATTCAGACATACCATTGTGCTGAAGAGGAGAGAGAAACAGTACTGGGCACACATTACCTTTTTATGAACTTGGCGCATGATTTCCATCTACTGCGAGTGTCGATCATGGTGCCTATATTGTCTTCTGCGGCTGTCACTGCTAGGCATTTCGAGAATCGCTCGCTTCTAGCTCACCCTTGTATAGCAAATAGCTAGTGGACAATGCTGGAGAGCCACCGGCTTCCCCGCACCCAGCTTAGAAAGCATGGAAGTGTAACTGAAGTGGTGGCTCTAATGGGTGGGTGAACTTTATTTAGTCCTTCAGAACGCACTTTAGCACGTTGTGGGCCGCTCGCACGTCTAAACAAAATGACCAAGTCTCTCTGCTGCGTTGCGGGCACATTGGACTGCCCATATGTGTTGTTCTAGTCCAGAGCTTGTAATAGCACCCTCCCATTTGGACGGCATGATGACTTCCTCACAACGTAACGAAGGGCACCGCCAGAGCATATGTTCCAAGTTGCTATATTATCGCAGAAAGAATGTGTATTAGTTGGCTGTATTTCAGGATAAATCTTGTTCAATAGCGCGGAGTTGGGTATGCTCTGACCTGAAGAAGCCCTTCAGGGTCAGTGGCCCTAATGACAAGACAGTTATAGCCAAATTGAGCAGGTACTACACATGCGAACATGATTGGAAAGATACTGTGTCAAAGGTCGTGGAGCATGGTAAGACGACGACAAGATGGCAGCTTTAAGAACAACGCATTGCTAAGAATGGAGGCCAAATAGCATCAAATGAAATTGGATGGGTAAGTTGACCTCAGGGTACCAGGAAAGCAAGTTACACTAGGGCTGGAGGGGAATGTGGCAAAATCTGCATTAGCATATGAAGCCAGTGCTACTAGTTCTTTGTCTACGAATGAAGGTGATTGTTTTTTTTGTTTTTTAAGAGCTCATCTTCATGTAAGATGAAACCAAATGAACAAAACAGAGAATCAGGCCTGGTAAAGCATAAAAGAACATTAGGTATATTCAACTGTAGTGTACTAATTGTGATTAAAACTGGTGAGATGAAACTGGTGATGACTTTTTTTCTCCACTTATATGCACTTGTGTCAAATTTCATACACTACCTCTATGCATTGCTTGCTCTAATTGTCTGTGTGACTCATTTGCAGAGTTCCCAGCAATGTCATAATCTTTTCTCGAGACTAGATATGAGGTTATTATAACACAGATATTATATTCCATCTAAAACAATCGATGGTTTAACCGAGTGAAATGCGGAAGCAGTGTCTCGAAGTGTGCACCAGTTCGTCAGAGTTGTGAAATTCAGAAAGGTGATCATTTCCATTTATTGTTCACCAACACCAACATTTTTCTGAATGAAAATAATGTGGTTAATGCTGCTCTGTGGCTTTCATTCCTATCTCCGATGCCATTTGTTTAACTATAATGTTCAAGCCAAAATCAAGCAGTAAACAGAACATGCAAAGCTTAACCTTTGAGAGAAAAAAAAAAAAAGAACACGTGAAAGGCCAAAGTTCAAATTCCAAGCGGGGCTAGTAGAGTCTCTGTCTTGCTATATACAGCCCCCTAAAGTGGTAAATATAGTTAGGCTGTATTAAGGTTTCTTAACACCTGTCCCACTCAAGTGGCCACAAGGACAATGATGACAGTGAATAGTAAACTACAAGCATCACTTGGGCAGACACTACTATTTGGCGCAAAGCAGCTTGCTGATGCCCATGAAAAGCTTATTGTTAATGTGTTCTGCTAGCATCAACCTTCTTGAAAGATACAAGGCAGACCTGCAAGGAAGGCCAACCTAAACTAAACAAGACAAACAAGCAGTGTACTGCATGCGTAGTGCGAGCAGACATACTGCATCTCTCAGGGCGCACTAGCAAATTCAGAATGAATGCAGCATTACAGGTTGTAGATTAAACGAGTAGACGAATTTTAGTTGTCGAAGTTGGGCAGGCCATGTAAGAAGTGTGACAAATAACTGGTAGTCTCTTGTAGCGTTGGCTGGACGTACCTATACAGAGGTCGCTGAAAGGGGTCCTTATTCTACTATGGGCCGTTAATGTTGACCCTCGCAATGTATCGGTGTCCAACTGCTTATCAAGCCCGACCTTTGATAATAACACAATGAATGTACATGAAATACCATAAGCGATTTCAGCGTTCGGCGACAGTGGTTGCGACATGCCTTCTATGAAAGTTGTGGACTGTGTTGCACTAAAAGAAATGTTGTCGTGAACCCTAACAATGCAATAAAATACTACTGCTCGATGAACCCTGCGAGTTCTCTCTTTTTTTTTTTATTACTCAAACTCGCCAACACTCGCTGACACCTACCAAACTTTGCTGGTAAACTCACTAAGGCACAGTGCTAATTCAGCCCTCCTTGCAGTTTCTAGAGCCACACGATACAAGAGAGCTTATTAAAATTACTCAAGGAAATACTGGTGCTGCCACAATTCACCTACCACAGGAATGATCATAGGGACAAGGGGTTTATCTAATCTTTGCATGTAAATTTACACAGAAAGGTTCTTGCGACATTATTTATGAAGATTTAGTGTTAGAAAGCAAGAATCCAATACTTTTTTTGAAAACACGAACTTAGTAAGTTCCTGTGTAGACACACAACAATTGTGAATACTTGTCTTTAAAATAAAATATTCTTGTGAAGCTATAAATTGGGAACATCACAATGCTGTTAAGCGAGAATCCTTACGTTGGTTTAACCACCTTATACTATTGAATGCTCCTATACACACTAGCAGCAGCATTCCTTCCAATTGCTTCTACACAAAACTTAGGGAGAACACTGATATGATTTTAGAGTATTCTGTACCACGATGTCATGGCACGCACGCCAATTATGTGGCAGCAGCACATTGTGAAGTTCAGGCACTTGCTCATGCTCGCTCGATTGCCGCTTGTCATGTTAGTGACCGCAAGTGTTGATGTAGCAGTGTAGCGGATGGCCAAGCAAGCCAGAGCGCATGCTTCAACGCTGTAATGTGCTGCTCATACGTTACCACCGTCAGCAGCCACAGCATCACAAGACAGTACTATCGCCTGGAATGAAAACAAAACTGGCTGTGGATTTTGTACGCTCAGAGAATTGGCTTTAGTTCTTTTTCTCCAATTTCGATGGCCTAAAGCTTTATTCAACAATAAAAATAAATAAAGAAGCACATCGGCAGCCCTTACCATAGCAGACCATCCCATGTCAATACAGATGATACCGTAATATCGACCGACGCGTATGGATCATTCCTAGATTCAGACGCTGATAATAACAATATCTGCGGTTTTATGTCCCAAACTCATGATATGATTACGAGAGACAACGTAGTAGAGGGCTTCGGAAATTTGTGACCATCTGGTGCTCGTTAACGTGCACCGACATTGCACAAAACACGGGTCTTTATCATTTCTCCTACCCCGAAACGAGACTGCTGCGGCCAGAATCAAACACGTGACCTTTGGGTCACCAACTGAGCGCCTTAGCCACTGATCCACCGTGGCGAACCAATTCAACCACTGAGACCAGACCAGAGAGATAGAAGAGATGCCTTACATTTATTTCTTATCTGCAGGATGAAACCGTCAAAGATAGAATTGACTTGTGATGTGGTAATCACAGACAATGGCACTCTCTTCCGAGTTAAATGCATGACAATTTCAATATCTCTTTGCAATTGTGGAAGTATTTTTGTAGTGTTCGACCTAAGGCGTCTCAAGCTGAACTGCATGTTCCTAAATAAAATAAGCACCCTGCATTAAATGTTTCATGTTTTCAGAAGTAATATTATGGTGGACGTCGCATAATATTTCTGTAGCGGTACCAAATTACATTAGTTAAATAAAGAAATTGTCGGCACCTTGCTGCTTTGTAGGGTTCTGCTTGCAAAGGCTAAAGTGAACACTTACCGACGACTACATAACATTTGTTATACTCGATCTGCACAAGAACCTTGCCACTACAGTTTTAAATTGCATTGCCGTAAAATATTGAGCAAAATGCCCCCCTCCTTTTTTCGGGAGGCTTCAAATATGTGGCCTCTTCCCCCTACCACTGTTTTCACTCAATTATTAAGTTTCATTCACCTAATGAGGCATATGAAAACAGAAAATGCATGTAGTATATTCAATTAAGCACCTAATTAGATGCATGGGTATGCATTGTTTATTATTAGAGACTATTCTATCGCCATCGTAAATTCTGCTCCATGACTGAGCTAGGGCCCCGTCCAAATCTCATCGTATTATCCTTCACTGTAGGTTGGGGTGCTTCCTTGGGATTTTATGGTACATATGGTGGTTCAAGGTGCTTGAATCATTGTTCAGAAATACTTCACTAAAGAAATAGTACGTCACTGAATGGTGACCGATCGGGTGGGAGTTCAAAACAAGCTTTCAAAACGCTGACCTTCATTTTCACAGACATGCAGCATAGTGTTTTTCAAGGATCAACAACGAAAGGGGTAGGGTATTATTTTATGGACATTTCAAGCTTACAAAACATACATTTGCTTTATACAGTCAAGAAGACAACGTTTTAAGTACTGTACACAGAGGATGACTCACGAGTTTCGGTGGCCAGTAGAGGGCATCACAGCTTCACTTGAATTACTGCTTTGCCAAAAAAAAAAAAAAAGAGACACACACACAAATCCTATGCACCAAGGTCAGGGTCAAATATTTGGCCTTTCAGATATGAGGGGCCATTTAACAAGTACTGCAGGATCTGCATATTGGCAGGATGTTTTTAACAAATGGTGGACTTTTGCTCGAGCGTCCTTTTATATGGGAAGATAACTAGGCATGAGTGTTTGTGAGAGCCTTTACGACATGCTTTTCGCTACCATGAAAGTAAGTATTCAAACCCAGCCCTTCACGCAGCCACGCACAGGTGGGAACGAAATATACTTTACCATGGCAGTGCATAGAAAAATGCCAGCTGGCGACTTCTAATGCAAACTGCACATTGTTGGAACTAGTTTTCATATTGTCAGTCACCATGACTGACAGCTGCACAACTTTCAGTTTTCACGCCTTAAAAATTGCTGTCTGTTGCTACGCAAGCAACTCGGTGCGGCAAAGATGTTGATACCAGGGCCACTGCTACCTCAACTGTGGGCGAATACTTTTTCACATCTTGGAAAAGAGAGCATGTGATACAATGCAGCAGCAGTCAAACACCCACGCACCCCGCAGCAAGTTCAAGAGCCACAAAGCACCACAGTTCATTCAGTTTGCTGATGATAATAGTACTGCCCATGACAGACACTTTTCACACAAGGCAGAGATGCTTCAGCAAAATCTTAATGCATCAAATACAATGTTTATGCTGAAAACTCAATGAAATGGACACGCAGGAGCGCTGTCTATTTATGCAATGGCGTGATGCGCGACAGAAAAGTTCTAGGCCTTCTGTCACGTGATTCCACCATTTAACTGCATCGTGATAGCGTATACAGCTGCAAAAATGTGGGCCATCACATTTTATGTTGTCGACCAAGACTTCTATCGTGTAGTTCACTTACTGCCTGCACTTTCCTGACACCCAAAAGAAAACACTGTTAACGATGACACCATTCTTCGAGCAATGGTGTTCAGTGTAGCTCTTCCCTTACTGCACGAAGCACAAACAACACAGCTGCACGCTCTAGCACAAATGTCATGCCTAAGACCAGGCTCTTGCCTCCCGCAAGACTTGTTTCACGAAACAGGTCGACTCTCGGGAGAAAGCCAGACATGACCAGAGTCGGGGATCAGTCATGCAGATGCTCTCCTGCAGAAAAATGCCAATAAAGCATTGGTGGATAGATATGGAGGCACAGTGCTTTCTGTACTTAAAAAGAACCTTCAAATCGTCATTTTCAATTAATCCCAGCAGCGCTACAATGACTTCTACCTCAACCTTTAACTTCTAGTTGATGCATAAAACAGGCTTGAACAGCGATGAAGGTCAGTTACAATCACTATAACATAGCATATATTCTGCCTTAAAGAAGCTTTGTGGCACTAGTGAAGATCCATGAAGTGACCAGCCAAAGATACTATAAATAACTGAAAAACATTGCATAATAACCTGCTAGGCAATCAGTATTCACTGTGAACACTCATTAGCACTTGCAACCATACTTTACCAGACAGCTCGCTAGCCAAGAGATACTAACAATAACAAAAACACCAGACCTTTTTTCAATTGTTAAATTGTTCTGGTCTATCCACCACAGCAAAACTGTCTTCGTGATCATCACTACAGCTTACATATCAGCATGTACAAGAACCAAGTACCTAGCATTATGACCATACAATGCTGCAATAATATAGGCTGCATACAATATCCAAACGCTGACACGCATTATTATCTTGCACCTATAATTACTGCAACATGGCATTCACCTGGCCACATGGAGTAACTTATGCAAGTTTGAGTAATCTTTTTTTTTACCTGTACTTGCAAAGAGAAAGTTCAATGGCCTCACTACTCCTCAGTTTGTGCTAAAAATTTACAGGACACTAAAGTACACAAAGCACTCAATGTGTCAGGAAGTAATATATACAGCAGGCACTCGGATGTTCTGCCTCTGATCTTATATCAGTAAATAACGAAGGCTAGGAAAATGTGTTTGCTTTCCCTATTACTTCCCAGACAATCACCTTCATGCGAGTCCTAGCTTTCAGCAGTGCCACATACAGCTTCTCTTGCAATCGACAGCCTCTAGCAGTAAATACAAAAAACTTCTCGCGTAAGGAAGCGCCAATCTTCTGCGCTCCTTTAGTAGCAGCTCAGTTGTGTCCTGCCAATCACGGTGAGAACAGAAAAACAAAGAAACAAAGCTAAAACAACAAAACAAACAGCAACCCACCCATGTTTGTTAGATCGTTCCTCACAGTTCAATTAACCATCATCAAACTCTAGCCACCAACTACATCACCATGAAACAGATGTGCCCAGTGCTACAACTGATGTTCACCGAAACTCCTCCTTCAGAAAACACTGCCAGAACAGTGCAGAGATGGTAATACAGTTCATCTGCAAGATCTTGCAAGAGTTTTGTAGACACTGCGGGGACAGCATGTCACACGTCATAAGCTTTACATGTGGAGAGCGCAACAGTGTCTTGGGCTCATAGTATGGTGATGTACCAGCACTCTGGTGAAGACAGAAAAAAACAGAAATCAAGCAGTGATTCTTTCATCATTCAACAATGTTGATGAGGAAGAGGTCTACGCCGCACTGGTTGTGTTCGATGGCGGTTCCTCCTCTTCACCGGTGCCCGCCACATCGTCGTCAAGGTGCTCCCCTTGAGACTCCTCATGGAGAATGACATACTCGCGCGTACTGAACCCGAACTTGAGAACGTCCCGCTCAAGCAGTTCAACATAACGGCGAGGGTCAATCTGCTTGTTGTTCACAAAGGTGCCATTGGCCGACTCGAGATCGATGACATAGGGCCGTATACGGCGCCCTGTCGTGCCGTCATTGCGGGTGTATGGCACCAGCCGAAACTGCAACACCGCATGCTGCTTGGAGCAGGATGGGTGGTCTATCGGGATGTCGGCGATCAGTCTCGACCTGTGGGGGATGGCAACAGTACAGGACGTCACTGGTGCTTTCTCAACGTTGCACAAGTTTCACTCTTATCTTGCAAAGTCAGTGCAGCACCGCAAAGGCTACAAATCCTCTGAGCCAATCAAGGAAGAGAACTAGACTTTGGATAAATAATGTCGTGCTTACAGCAATACTGTTCAATTCTTAATAACTACCTATTCTGATGAACCAGCATTAAATGCAGCATGCTATAGTGCTGCACGAGCTTCTTTTTCTATTTTCATGAAAGTAACGTGTTACACACGTAACCACTGCCTTGCGCACGCCACACTGGAATGTATAGGAACACTTCTGGTTATTGCAGATTGTTCTGATAAATTCAAGCACACGTGAACAGTACTGCTTATTTCGAAACCATCACAGTCACCAAAGACAAAGCTGGAAACTTTGATGCCAATACGCCTTACTGCTGATGAGATTACCGAACGCTGATGTTGTGATCGCTGCTGTCATTGTACAGTATGCATTACTTGTACTTTAATCTGTTGTTCAACTGTTGTCCCCATGCATAACTTTTCCTAATAGTTCCATCTTTATTATTAGCCTGAATGCTGTTTTCTTCACCACAATGACCACATGACATTTCATGGTGGTGCTGTTGATTCGTGTTCTGTGTAGCCCTGTCAAGCCGTGAATTCATCTCAAGTCACAGGGAAAACACAGATGCCAACTACGCCACAGAAAGAAATTTCTGTGGCCATAGACTGGACGCCATGAACAGGCCTCGCCTAACTACCTAGTCTACATGTATCAAAATCATGGCTGGCTTCGCAAGTGCTTTGCAAGCTTATGTACAATCTTTGGAAACCGCACTAAAACTCAAAATTTATTCGCTTTGAAACAGTCAAAGCAAGGAAGAAAAATTCAAAATCTTGAGAGCAAAATTACAAGCAAGAGAGATAGTGATCATCCTGATAGCTTACAAATCCACAGTACATAAACAGTACATCATGTGATGTTAAATATTAAAAAAAAAGAAAGAAAGCACAGGGATGAAAGGAATTCACACAGGACAAGTGTAGACTGGAATTGTTATGCTTACCCTTGTTGAAATGTGTGGTTTCCCTTTCGGAGGAAATGGTAGTGTGCAATTATTTTTGCATGTGAATACATAATGCATTCTTGCCAATAAAAATTATTAGTTGAAATTGGCAGCATTTGTGCTGTGTTTTGTCTTGATCCTCATCCTTTTTTAAGCTTTTTTTTTACTATCGGTACAAATCACCAACTATTATAGTTATCAATTTTATCATGTTAAAGTGATTCTCAGTTAGCCTCAGCATTACTGAAAACTTTGACTTTCAGCTTGCAAATTTCATAGCAGCAATCAGCGCTAGCTATAATTTCAGAAACCACATAATTATGCAACGAAGCCTTTATAGGTCGTGGAAGACAATGAAGACAATGACTGTGTTCCAGGAATATTGCCAGCATTGCAATACAGTCAAACCCGTTTAAAGAAACACTAACGTAAGAGACAATTGGGTATAAGAGACTACAGTGTGCCTACATTAAAATAAGGCTTGATTAGAAAGTGCATGCGTGGCACCTTTCTTATAAGAGACACTTCGTACAAAGGAACAAGAGCTGCTACCTGGTGCATATCTTTAACAAAGGGGCTCAATTGTACAAATGGGTAGGTCCAATCAAGACATTAGTTAGTACAAAGTGAATTAGATGAACAGGTTGGTTTGTTATGCCAAAGTGGATGACATCTGTAACAACCGTAGACTGTATTCAACAACTTGTTATATCTCATTAAACAGAAGACATTCATTAGTGTGATCTCAACCAACAACCCTGGCTGGTCCCCATACATTTCTGTGGGACCAAATGTGTCATTTCAATCTTGAAGTTATAAGCGTTAGTCAAATAACTCAACTTTATCTACTCATCCAATGATGCCCACAGAAACTGTTCCAATAGGAGCATTGTCAATGTTCGAAACAATGTTGTCTTCTATAGAACACACCGATATGTACTTTGGACACAGTGCGCCAAACAACAAATATCCTATCTCAAAAATGTCCAGTTTTCATGTGGTGAAGGTGCCAATGCAAAAATTGAGTTCTCAATTGTTTATTATACTACTGTAAAACTTTGAATTTAATATGCACATCTAAAAAATCAACTAGCCAAATGTTCACACATGCGGTACCAGCTCATTTCCTTTAACAACCACCTCAGTGCAGGACATCAAGCACATTATCAACCATACAGACAGCAGTGCATTGTTGTTTTTTATAGTGATAAGTTTATACTTAAGACTAATGATCACAGCTGCAAATTAACTTTTTTTAAAGAAAATGCTGATAAATCTTGTTTTTTCCTTTTTGCCATAATTGGAGGCATGCTATGCTTTTCTTGCTGAAAAGTGGAAGTGCGTGTTTGACTTTTTAAAAATTTATGCTTTTTAGTGCCCACCACAGTTCTCTAGTCGTTATGGAGCTTGTCTACTGACCGAAAGGTCTGGTGATTGAATACCAGCTGCGGTGGCAGCATTTTAATGGAGGCGAAATACTAGAAGGCTTGGTGCTTATATATATATTTTTTTATTAGCGCCATCATGCCCTATGGCATAAGTTAAATAAAAAGGAAGAGCTCTGTTTCCTGTATGAAGGCCAGGAGTGGTCGATGCAGTGGACTGTGCGCCAAGCGCGTTAAGTCAGATTGTCGGCCGGGGTGGTAGTGAAGGCCGCATAGGTGGCGAATGCGAGCCTGGTGAAAGCTCGAACAGGTCCCTAATAAATCAGCAAGGGCTGCCTCAATGGCTGGGGTAACACAGAATGTGCACGTCGTAGGGGGAGACTGTGCACCGAAAGTCCATGTATCCCAGATGGCAAGAGTCAAGGCGGCGTGCCCACACAAATTCTTTTGAGCGAAGCCTCCTTTCGACGAGTTAAGCCGCCAGGAAGGTCTAATCCATGCGTACGAATGAGTGCACACATGGAGCGCATGGAGGGTTTCTTTGTGCAGAAGAAAGCTGCCCTTTGGGGACACGGTGCTTATATTTACGTGCACATTAAAGAACCCCAAGTGGTTGAAATTACCAGAGCCTTTAACTACAGGCTCCCATAATTTATCGTGGCTTTGAGACGTAAAACCCTGGTGATTATTATTATTATTACCAAATTGGGATTTATAACATCGTTTTTTACATTTATTTTCTATTTTAGGCATGTAAATCATGGGTGCATCTTTGATTTGAGAGTTTCCTACAGCTGAGGCAAATAAAACCAGGAAATTTAGAGGTTTAGTTTTTTCTTTTTTGCCTCTATCTCCATTTGACCTACTAGATTCATCAATGAATCTTGTCAGTCCCATCAGGGTTGAATTGACAGATGTTGACCCTGTAAAGGTTTAAATGTAGGTGATCTTGCATCTCTTACCTGCCAAGCAGATAGGCACTCTGTCGATGCAGGGGAATAAAGGGTAGGCTGGTTTCGCCCTTGAAAGGGTAGAGCCGCCACCGGCGCTTAGGCTTCCGGGCTTCGACCGGTTCATTGTACTTGATGACCACTCCGTTGTAGACGTTGGTGTCCTCGGCCAGCTTGCCGGAGAGGCCGAATTCAGGCTTCACCGCCACCTGGGAAGAGTTAGAAAAATGTTACAGTTTCACACTTCTCCTAATACTGTACACTCGTAGACGGTGGTTAAACCGAACCTGAAGGAACCAAAAAAATACGTTGCATTCAACAAGAGTTCTATTTATTGAAATGTGGACGGAGTTGCAGTATTCAGGTACAAAACCAACCATAATACAGGCAGTTGTTCTATTTAAGCAGCAGTCTTGTTTAAAAGACTTCCGTATGCCGAGAGTACCACAAACACGTGAAACATAACTCCAAACGGCTGGACAGATATTCGAACGGTTCCTATCCACTGCTGCCGCTCCGGAGTGCAAGACAGGCACTTGATCAACTTAGCAGTAAAGTCATGAGTCGCAGCAAATGCTAAGATGGAGAAGTGAAGTAGCACTTTCTTTATTCTTGGTTCAGAGTACAGCCAAGATGGCTTTGATTATATCAGCATGCAGTGGATGCTACGTAACTGTCATGATAGTAGGTAATGGTGTGATTGAGCTTCTGTCCTCATACATGGCGAGAACAACCACTTAACTGTATTTCAGTTGCCAAAGAAAGAAAAGCTACCCTACGTTGTATATACATATAACAAAAGAGCAACAGGCAGCATGCACTACTTTTCCTGACAAGCATGCGTGCTTTCACAATGAGCAATGCAAGCAAGAACAAAAAAATCTGGCTGCCAGCCAAATACTGATGCAGGTGCGACAAGGCACATAGACCGGGCACTGGTGAGAAGATGGAAAAGCAGATTGTGGACTACAAGTATGACAGATTGAGCACAAGGAGTAAGTCACTGTGCCACAAACGTGCTACACGTTTGGAATGCTGGTGATGAGCCAAATTCCAGTGGTGGCAGACTTTAACAGCGGGAAAAGCACTGTTCTCTAGGGATGAGTGATGTCACTGCTTGCGGACAAGACTTAAAGGGGTCATGAAGCACCCCTCAGCCTCTTCGCAAGAAATAATATTCTGTGGACAGCAGACACTTCTATGAACATCTCAGCCCAATCTTGCAGTCATGCCATCAAGGAGAGCTTATAAGTGGAGTGCAAAGTTCCCATTTTCCCAAGTGCTCTCTTTCGATAAAGATGGCCGTCTTCAATTACTTTGGAGCTACCAGTTTGTCATCGAGCAGAAGGTAGCATGCTGCAGGCCAACAGCTGCTATAAACTGAGATCAGCATTTGGATCAAACGCACTTCCTGCCACAGGCTGCCAGAGCTGCGCTCTTAAGTCTGCTAACACCACATATTGAGCAACGCTTGTGAGCAGAAATGGCAATGGGACAGTGCAATTGCACTTTATCACATGCGCTCAAGGTCACGGCGTGTTATGACGTAATTTTTCCACCCATGCCATCCTTACTAAGAAGGGAAAGATAAGTAAACGCTAAGAAGTTAAAGGGGGCCCTCATTTTGATCTTGCTTTGCTTCTGCTTTACGACTCAAATTATGAAAGGTTACGGAGCACAATGCATTCATCTGTTCAGTTGGGCACTACATAATCACCAGATTATCTAAACGTTGCCATAACACCATCCACTTTTTTGGTGCATAAAGCAGAGAATGCTTGTGCTCTGCTTTCACCACAAGTTTCAGTTTTCAGTTTTCTTTGATATGCCTTTTTTAGATGAGCATCAATTGTCATCTTAGGACCATGAAGTGGCAGATAGACAGATGTGTTCAGACAAGGTTTAACCAGTGAGCATTATCTCGGAAGGCATTAAAGTGAGGCGGCACACTGAGTCAAAAGCAAGAGCATCTGCATCTCATGCTTTGCGGCCGATATAGTAACTGACCCTGAATTTCAATACAGAAGCCAATAAAATAGGCAAGTAACTTCATTAAATTTACACTTTGCTAAATTAAAATTCAATCCTTTATTCAAAGTACAGCTGCCAAATAATAGAGTTTTGCACCTCAGTGCTTACGAATGTTCAAGCGGTACAGCAGCACAGTAAAACTAATTTACAGAACGTTGATTGATGATTGATTTGTTGGGTTTAACGTGCCAAAACCACACTATGATTATGAAAGACGATGATTATGAGGGCTCCGGAAATTTCGACCACCTGCGGTTCTTTAACGTGCAACCAAATCTGAGCACACAAGCCTACACTTCCGCCTCCATCGGAAATGCAGCCGCCGCAGTCGGGATCCTATTCCGCAACCTGCGGGTCAGCAGCCAAGTACCTTAGCCACTAGACCGACGTTAAAAAATATAAAATTTTTTTGAGCATGTGACCCACGAATCACAATATGATGCCACAGCGACAACGTCTTTTTTCCCAGAGTGACATTGAGAGAAAAAAAGGAAAGGCAACACAGGTCCCATGCACATTCATCACAAGCGTTTGAAGAAGCTACTGCCACTTAGTCTATTTTCCACTGTGACTCGCCACCAAAACCTTAGGGATTGCCCAAAGTGGTTTGACACCGATGCTACCATGCTCACTGAATTGAACCACTTCTTTTCTACTCGGTCAGCATCACAACACATAAGAGGAGCTGTCGTCTAAAATCGCATGAAAGCATGGAAACAAGCTGAATTAAAGGGGCCCTCCAAGACTTTCTTCGACCTCATTGTTTCATGTGTTTTTCTACTTGGTTGCATAGACTGAAGCCTTTCACAAGGTCCCTTAACTGTGTTTCTCTTGCCCCATGACGTGAGATGGCTTCTCAATGAAATGAATGGAAAGCCCCTACATACAGGAAGCCTGTATGCCATATTGCCTGTTATTTCCAACCTATTGAGGACCCTGTTGCGATGGTAACAAATAATTGTGGTGCTTGAAGAGTGAACCGCACGTGCAAAACGATGCAGCTCGCGAACGCTTCTATAATGTTTCGTAGTGCTACTGATCTTTCTATCAACCCTCTTACATTTTTTCCCTTTCACTTATTTCAAACCACGTTGCCTGGAGCATCTCCCGATGCATTTCCTCTTGCTCCATGGCGTTCAGCGCGTTTTTTGACCGGCTTTGCGGTTCTCAAGCTCAGAAAGCCAAGAGAGCTTTAGTCTTTCCCGCATTCAGTAAAAAAACCTTACAAAATAAAAAAGATACCCAATGGTAATCCTTATTTTGATGCGGTGTTGTCATGAAATTCTGCATTACATTTATCCAATCACAGGCTGGTGCTATCCGTAATCATTTCCGCTCGCAACAGTTCTGATGAACACCACTACATGTTGATGCAGTCGGCAACGATGTTTCGAAGCGTTGGAGGGCTCCTTCAAGACACCTCTGTTTGTAGTGATCATGATTTGTTTGGCAACGATGCATATTAAATTCAGAACTGGAAGACCGATTGCTGTGTTGCAAACTTCGGTCATTACTATACATTGGCTCATCCCAGAACAATCACATAATTTTATACAGCTGATAACAATACTGCTGGTAATGGTGAGCAGCTCGAAAAAGTACTGCTCATACTGCACCAGCACCCCTATAAAAGAAGCAGACAAAAAAAAAACTCTTCTGAGGTAAATGAGCCTGTACCTATGCTCTGACTGCCCTTGCCAGAAATGGATTCTATTCTCTACATAGCCAGTTATGGCTTCTTCCAAGTTCAGGATCACGAAGAGCGAGGTTTACAACATCCCCAAACAAGCATCAATGTCTTGTTTCTTCATGATCGAAATTGTTAGCAACTTGAGATTCATTCAAGTTGCAACAAGTGCCAGTATTCTCGCACACCACACATAAGCGGGATGATCTCCATCTCTGCGACTACGAAGGCGAGGAAAGCGTTAAGATGCACCTTTTCCCATAATCACTGCTGAAAAACATGCTGCTCTACTCCGATGACGACTCTCCGCCACGTCATTTTAGAAATACATTCACAAAAGTCCTACGCAAGTCAGCAATGCGACTACTAGCCCCACGAAAGGGTCTTAATTTTTGCCTCTGTGGTCCGCACCATCGGCCCAAGCCTTTTAGTGAAACATGCCAATGCGAGGAAAAACTTCTGTGTACTCAACACAGCTTCCAGAGTCCCAAAGATATGCATCTTTGGCATGCACATGGCAGCCAATGGATCAAACGACGAAACTATCCGCAAGATCAAAGGCAAGGTTACAGCGGCCATCCACCTGATCAAACGCATTACCAAGACAAGGAAATGAAGGAGGACAGTGTCATGTGCCTCATACCCTCATTCGAAATCAATCACATAAACTACGCGGCTGCCTTCCACATATTGATGGTCACTGAAAGGGAGAGACTCAACATCCTGATACGCCGGACCTACAAGATCGCCCTTAGCCTACAGGAGTCTACGAGCACCGCTCGTCTGCTGCTCCTGGGGGTATACAACATGCTTGCGAAGATAGTGTTTGTGCAAGGGGTCTCACAACATTAATGCATTTCCCCGACAGCCATGGGTCAGCCCATCCTGTCTCAACTCTGCCTCAATTATCATGTCCAACATGGTCACAAACAAGCCCTTCTTCCCAACATAAGCAATGTGCTGATCATCAACAATCCAGGCTCGTGTGAATGCGGTACTGCACTTATTTGGTGACATAGTAATACGCGCTTCATGAACATGCCAGAGTACAAAAACAAAAAATGCCTGTTCACAACGGCCATTGCAGACGTTGACTCCTGACTTAGGTATGCATGTAGCTAGCACGGAATAGCCAGAAACAGCAGTTGCGATTGCGAAGAAGTTGCGATAATGCTTATCGATCCTTTCTGGGCACAGTTTTTAGCGACTCACAATCTGACGAACAACTCCTAGTAAGGATGTGTTCCTCCACAAGATATTAAAACTAATCAACAGCACTCTTATTGCTCTGCGATCCTATAATTTCCAGCACACGTTGCCACCACCACCCACAAGTCCCCACATCACGCCGCCAACTCGAACGAGCTGGCACACCACTATGCACGAGAAGTGACCCACCACACAGGGTGGGAGACCCCCTGATCGAGTTCAGACTTTTTGGTGCAAAATACGCTAGACCATTTAGTCAGGTACAACGACATCACCAAAACAACGTCAGGCAGTAGTCTGGCAACAGCCGCCCCTACTGTTGCGAGGAAGTAGTCTGGCAACAGCCCTACTCCAGTCCGATGCAACTGCAGCACATTTTCTCTGTGCAATACCTGAATGCTCTTGCAAATTGTCGGGCAACTACAGCGAAACTCTCGCACATGCTGTGAGAGAGTCCTGCTAGAACAGCTAAAATAGCAGTAACTCCACGATCCTTTGCATCCCAGTAAGCTGCCGCTATGCGCAGCTCCAACTTCTGGACACAAGGGTTGGTGGTCCAGCAAGTCTCAGGCGCGTGAGACGAGGCAAGGCCTCGAGGTCTCCTCACGACAGACCTGAACCCGTGTTGTTATGATCGCCGGACCTTCAATAATGTTATTTTCATCCATGAGAAATGAAACTTCGTTACATATAAATTGATGATAAACATGTCTCATTGAAGTGCCACCAGAATTTTGCACTGGAACGGCATCAGAACTTCGCGAAAGTTTGCAGAGAGAGTATGTAAGTCTAATTCTTAGACTCTGAAAACTCATTTGACAGCTCTGGAAGTCATTAGAAGAAATGCCCAATTATAAAGGTTTTTATTTTCAGTAACCTGAATATTCTTCATTAAGGGGAGGGTGGTGTGAACATTTTGGCAGCCTTCACAAATTTTCTAGCACTTCCACGCAAGAGCTCCCTCCTTAATGTTCCCATTATCCCCATATCAAGCAGGGCACGGCCTCTGAGACGAGCCGGCCGCACACCGTTCTTTCAGCCTTCCCAGTTTCACACAGAGTGCGTAATCGGAGAAAGTGGGATAACTGCTCCCGTCACCGCACTGCGGTGGGCGCTCCCCATGGTTCCCTTCTGTGGACAGGGACACGCCAGGAGAGCGAAAGCTTGGCAATCGCAGCCACTGTGCGACGCGCAATAAAAATTGCAGCTAGCATGTGCTTACTAAAGGCAAAATGTTGCTTACTGTTGCGATTGGGCAATATCCTCTTCAATTATGACGCTTACTGAGGACTGTGAGGCGAGGCACATCACCACAAGATCGTTGACTGATGCCGTATATAGTGTTTTGCTACGCCCTAGTGATTTTCTCTCGGGCACGGTTTGTAAGAAAAGCACATACGAAAGAGACATGGACGCTGATAGGTCGTCTTGTGTGTTGTACTATGGCGGTTCTTTCTTTTGACAAACCGTCCAGAGCTCGCGTCTATTTCGCCTGCGTTTTTCACTATACAAACCATCCCTGATGCCCGATCTGCCACAATCCTAATATTCTTTCTCTGTGCAGTTGTCCATAGTTCAAAAAGAAGGATGCGATATTTTTTCTGCAGGTTCGCACAGTGGCCCATTTTCATTCTGTAATTATCATGTGCATGTTTTAAATCTGAAATTAAGTTCTTTTTTACACGGAGATCAAGTATTGTCGTATTCAACCCTAGCCGACAATTCGTATGGCGACGACTGAATGTGTGCGCCTAGCCGAGGAAATGCTTGCGCACCAGCTGAACCTGATGTCACTCTTTTCTATGGAAAAGTGGTGAGCTCTGGTGCAATCTGGAGGTGACCAGGAGGTAGCGCCACTGGAAGCGCTCCCATCACCAATAATGACGCAATTGCTGGCTGTTTTGAATCGTGCTATATGCCAGTGATATAAATCAATAACAGTGATAGTTATTCGTCCATCACTTGCGTTATAGGTCGCCAATCGCTGCTAGAGGGTCGATAGCTACTCGTTGACGCAAAAATCTTGAAGTGAGTAAATTTGCCCACAGGTGACAGCTTCGAAACATTTACCTGCCTTGGCAGTTACGATGCTCAACTGCTGACCCTAAGGTCACGGGTTAGATCCTTGCCGCAGCAGTCGCATTTTGATGAAGGTAAAATACTAGACGCCCAGGTGCCGTGCGGTGCCAGTGCACTTTAAAGGAGCCCCGACAGAAAGTTTCAAAGGCTAGATAATCAGTGCGATAAATTTATCTAAACGTACAGAACATCTATGAAATATCAAGAGCAAATATAGCCTAGAACATATTTAAATCAATTTTAAAGTGCATGCCGCGCAACTGAGCGAAATGTGACGCCCCTTGTGACACCGCAAATCTTGAAGTGAGTAAATTTGATGTCGGTGCTCCTTTAAGTCAAGCCTCCACAGAGCTACATTCTTGCACATTGCTGTCAAAAGCTTTCTCAGCATGAAAAACACTTGCCTTTTCCTCCGGCTCCTTCTTGGGTTCCTTCTTGCCCCAGTGATGCTTCTCCCCATCTCCAGAGTGCCGCCGAGGTCTCCTGTCTCTACGAGGTGGTGGGCTGCCTCTGCAAAGCAGTGACACAGACAGTTGACAGACTTGTGTTGACACAATACCCTAGTGAGAACACTGGAGTACACCCTTGCTAAATGCTGGGAACAATACCCGCAGTTATTCAGGACACCCCGTGATCTCAACGTTCACCTGGCTTTCGTGTATCTAACTATAGTGGGCAGGCACCTCATTCACGAGTTGATCGTGCACGGCATTGCACCAACGCCACACATCGAGAGACAACAGACAGAGGTGATTAATTATCTTATGGCTACAAATTAATCATCTTATTTTCTATTTTGCTGTAAGCCCAGTAAATTATGACCTTATTAATTATGACATTCGCTTGCACGGCCAAATTCTACACAATAAAGTTAAGAAAAAATGTTTTTCAGGTATGGCAATTAGAGAGGTAAATTTCTTCACTGCCAGAAAGTGGCCACTGCAGTTTTGTTTCCTACACGCACAGCTAAATGCTATGGTCAATCATTTAGCACAAATCCTTGAGTTGTTCCTTTCTTCTTTGGCTGTTAAACTATGGTCAATGAGCTTTTGTTCCAAACTGCAACATATGACCACTGCGAAGGGTAGGCAGTATGCAGTTTCTTCAGCGTCATACTATGTGTATACACGTGTGGTGTTACAGTGCCCGTGCACGAAATTCAGATCTCTCAGTATCTTAATTGACCTATCAAAGAAAAGCTCAGGAGCCACATTAGACCAGTCTGTATAAGAGAAATGCTTTCGCAAAACTCTAGCGATAGCACAAGGAGGCTAACATCTAGGGGAGAAAATCAGGACCAAACATTGTTCTTATACGCCAATTCAGATTGTACATGCTACCTTCAACATCAAGTCAATGAAGATGACTACAGGTGCCTGCCCTTCCAATGATGGCATGATGTTGAGGATGGAAAAATTGAAAAGGACATTTTGCATTGCCTCCGACTTCAGTGCATCTCTAAAACTTTGGATTACGCAACCTCCATGACCAGGAAAACAGTGCACACGAAGTGACCAGCATCTCCGTTCACCCAACTCTGGCACCATTACCAACTTACCTCCAAAACAGGGTGCACAGGTAGAGATATCCTGCTAGCCCCTCATGATTATCGGCTTGGAAGGCTAGCCTAGAGCAGCATATGCATTCACACCTGTCTGTCCTAGCGTGTGCTCAATCGTATGAACTGACATTAGGCACGTATCAGGCCACCATCTTTCTCAGCTCAACTAAACACTCCTTCGCTTTGACTACTTGCATAGTCCTGATTCAGTGTATGGAAAAATCCTATGTCTACCTCTATCATGCGTAACCTTTCAGGCCTGACAATCCCTGGCACGATCATGTGTGTTGTTGGGAAATGTGAACGCATTGGCAGTGAGGGGCTGCACAACAGAAAACAACAGGGTTTACACTTTCCCTGTCTCATGGATAACTTGTATTGCCATTGCAGACTAGTTTACTTGGCATACAAGCTGTTTCTAATGTTTCACAAAGGGCCCACAGGTGACAGCTTCGAAACATTTACCTGCCTTGGCGGTTACGATGCTCAACTGCTGACCCAAAGATCACGGGTTAGATCCTTGCCGCAGCAGTCGCATTTTGATGAAGGTAAAATACTAGATGCCCGTGTGCCGTGCCAGTGCACTTTAAAGGAGCCCCAACAGAAAGTTTCAAAGGCTAGATAATGAGTGCGATAAATTTATCCAAACGTACAGAACATCTATGAAATATCAAGGGCAAATATAGCCTAGAACACATTTAAATCAATTTTAAAGTGCATGCCACGCAACTGAGCAAAATGTGACGCCCCTTGTGACACTGACATCAACGCGGCGAAACTGTAAACAAACTCACGTCACCAGTTTGTGTTGGCTCTTTGCTTGGAACATGCCTTACACTTGCACTACCTGCGCTTTCTTCCTCCGAGCTAGCGGCTTTGGTACGCTGGCTATCAGTACGATGCACGCTGGCACATGCTTTAAACGCGCCGACACATGAATGTTTTGCGTGGGCAGCCAACGTTACTAGACTAGGTTCAGTTTTCAAACTTTCCGAGCTGCAATAGATTGTGGGCACCCACATGCGTTGGCTTGTCGCCAGATGACTGGAGCCCTGGAAGCAGCTCTACGCAAGTGCACCTCTCGTACTGGCAAACAGGCTTGACTCAGTTCCGTACAATCGCAACAGTAGCTTTCTCTGATTTATCTTTTTATTATTTTTGTGGCCTTGTGTTTAGCATATCGACAGAAAAACTTTACCGAATGTGAAAATCGCCGCTGCGCTCTCCCGTGATTGTGCTGTTTAAGTGCATTTGCAAGAACTCCAGCAGCCTTGGTCATCCGCTAGGCTCCGTTAAGGGCTGTTGGAAGATGTTGGATTCTCGCGCATTTAGTAATGAGCCATGATGAAGATTTCCGTTACGTTTCGTTATTGCCATCAAGATGCCAGACTCGTTTCAAAGCTAATGCTCTCAGCGTCCGAATGACACGTCACTGTATCTAAGCAGCAACAGTTTTGAAAACTAGCTACACGTTCCTGCGATTCAAACTGCCTGTTCTTTGTGGAAAAGCCTGTTAATCCTGTTTGGCCAACTAATCTTAATCACTGAAGCAGCTGTTAAGTAATCACCAGCATGCCAACTGGTGTACATAATGTAAAGTGACATCATTAAATCTAAGACACCTCATATGACACATACACTCTCTTAACACTTTATTTTGACATGAAAAAAATGCAACTAACACGAGCACCACATTCAGAAGGGCAACGTTGAGGTCTATATGAGCTTTGCTCGCTTGTGGGCCGACTTTAGGTGAACATTCATGGCATGTTCTCGTTACAGGAACCACGCATAAAAATGCATACGTGTCACCGTGAACTCCTCAAAGTGCACCTGACATCCAACACGCACAAGATCATTTTGGCCGAGTTTTTTTACAATTGTCCGAAAGAAGTCTCCAAACACCTCCTTTGATGGCGTCTTTTCTTCAATGACGCCCTCAATCCCTGAAAGTAGACACGTCAGGGCACTTGAAGGTTGCTGGAGGGCGCCGGGTACATATATTAGCATTTTGGTTAGGATTGCCGCTGGTAAAACATTGTGGGTACCCACGAGCGTGCCGGGACAGTCAGCACTGATGGAGAATTTCCCTGATTTTTTTCACGACATACCCAGCAAGATATGTAAAACTGCATCTCTCGCGACAGGGGGATTGTAGTTATGCTGGAATTCATCACCAGGTGCATGCTCTTGCAACTGAATCTGCAGAAGGAACCCAGCCAGTCTTTTTTTTCGAGCCTGCTTTTGGGCAAGAGCTGTCGACTTGCCTGCATTAAGGCTTTTCTCAACGAAGACAAGTAAGCAGGCAGGTTGGGAAAAATCTTCGGAACAGCACCATCAATGAGGCTCCATTTTCCACGTGACGTTTCGACAACAGTTCCAATAATGACATGCACGTAGTTCTTGCAGATACTTTGCTCATGAAAATGAACGTCACAAACCTTGAACTTCGCCGAGAGTTCTTTATAGCACATGGAATGACCCTGTTCCATGCGGAGCGAAACGTCTCATCACTAGGAGCAATGAAGAAATGCCGGCCTGACTTCTCGATGTCCTTCGCATAGCCGTTCGTGCATCCAGGCACATAGCACGTTGGCATTGTTCACTTTTTTACCACTGTCATCACTGCACGGCTAGGCCAAACAAAGGTCACAAAACCGACCAAAATATGAACAAACACACAACCTCCAACAGTGCCACAGCCACGGGAAGACTGCATTTCCGCTGCTCTGCCGCGCTGACCGAGCAAGAAGGAACAGCAGCGCCACTAGATGCGACGATTGGTGGCCAGTCTATGCACGCACGAGAGTTTGAATGAACATAGTCTAGTAACGTTGAGGACAGCTGTGTCTACGTGCCCGCTAGAACTGTGTGTATGTGTGTGTGGAAACTTGGGCAAGTTGGTACGACATAGCTGAATATAGGAACAGCGCAACCTTTAAGTAGTTATAGCCTAACTACTTCTAGGTTGCGCTGTTCGTATATTCAGTTCCACCAGAACTGCTCCTACCTAGCTCTCTGCTTTGTGAAATCAAAACTGCGACTGGACGCTCTAAATGAGTATCTCTAAATAAAAAATCGTCATGCACTCGTGCAAATGAGGTTTCCAGCTGTGATAAGTGGGTTATAAGCTAGCTATTACAACAAACAAAAACAAGGTGCAAAATTTTTGTGTAAGTTCTCCTTCAAAGAACAGCAGATATTTCAAGCCCTCCATTTCAATCTCCCTTATAATCATATCGTGGTGTTAGAATGTCAAAGCCCAGTTATTATTCGAAACATTTACTGCCCTGTTTTATTGTTCTAACTTGTAACTTGGCTCACCGGTCTCGACGGTTCTCTCGGGAGTGGGGCGGCCGGTGGTGGCTGCCGTCGTCGTGTTTCCGCCGCTTCTTGTCATCCTCCCTGCTTGTGCTTCTGCGGCGCTGTTCGTGCCTCTCCCGGTGCCTTTCGGGGTTCTCTCTGCGGCCGCCCATGTCTTTATCAACCTGCACAAGTGGGGCAGTGCGATAGTGATAGTCTGAAAATACCAAAAGAATGTTACTGGCACTACTATCCTTTTCAGTTCTTGGAAGCACAGTGCAGCACACTAAGAAGAACAAGCAACTATGCTAGATAAAAAATGTGGCACATATGTACAAAAAAAGATATTGGATTTTCATATACAAAAAACAATTGAATATAAGGCCCAGTGCAATAAGGTGCAATACACTGATATTGCCCCCAGGGTTTCTACAACAAGGTATGTCTTTAGTTACAGCAAAGTGCATGTCAATGAATACAGTAAGAATTAAAAACAGCTTTATGGCTGTCATGTGGAACAAGCTATTAGCACCAAAACAGAATGCCAGCATCAGAAACTGTCACTAAAGTTCCTTTTCAAACGCCATTGCCTGCAGTTAAATATTCAAAAAGATTTCTGACACAACATGCTGACATGTTCCATGACAACCAACTGTATCTCAGCATTTGATGTATGCATACATGCAACAGAGAAAATACAACCTACATGAAAATTTGGGTGAATAAAGATGTAATAGAAAGCTTCAGCACCATATAGTCAATGCATTTTTAATATTTATGAATTTAATGCGCTTTAGCAGGCAGTGAAAATGCACTTTTAATTGTTCTTGCTTTCTTTCCATTCAACTAACCACTCAATGAATTTTTCATTCAAGATTGCGTCCGTTCAGTTGACCGAAACAAAACATATGAGAGACAAAAAATAAATTAAAGGATAATGGGATATATCACACATTAAAAGTCATATAATATGCTGCCGTTACGCTTTGTTTACTGTACGAGTCGACGATTCATGACTTGTTCCAAGCTTCAATGAACCAGCTTCGATGGCTAGCGCGCTTCTATGCAATAGCTTCTACAAAGAAGCTTGAGTTACAACTTAAAGCCTTCAACGGCAGCCACGGGCTGTGAAATACCATACCTCCTGTCAGCCACACGATCACACAAAGGCGTACCTGCATGTTCGATTGCTGAACTTTCTGCTCGGATAGAAATAGCGGCGTTCATCAAATCGCCTTTTTTGCTTATCTGTTCAGCCGAGCGAATCAAAGGTTTAGTTCGAAGCGGGGTCACGGACAAACTGGGAGCGTGTGCTTGACATCGTTCATGAATGAAAACTGCGTATCAGAAAGCGGCGACACCGTTGCGAGTATACGACCTTGTTAGGATGCGCGATGCCGACGTTAAAATAAATCAGGCGAAAAGCGAGAGCTTGCATTCGTAAGTGACTAACAGTACGCGACAAAAAAACAAGTGAAAACGTCGAAGAGCGCCGATTTAGTCATCGAAAGGCACGGATGCATTCGCGACGGTTTCCCGAGCGTGCGTCTTGGATTCAACGATCGTGGGAGCGGCTACCTTGGGGTGTTTTGACCTGTGCTGAGGGCTGGGAGACCTGGAGTTTCTCCTGCGTCTTGTGTCGTCTTTTCTCCGCTTCTCCTTGTGATCGCTCATTGTGATGAACAGCGTTGCGGCGTGCATTCACAACATCGAAAACATCCTGACGTCGGCCATCTTGAAAGTTTTCCTGGAGCGACGTGCATCGCCCGCAAATGTCAAAACGAAACCGAAACGAAAAAATTGACCGTCTCTTTTTAGCTGTGTTCGGCAGTGGTGCGTACTTTCGCTTCTTCGACTTTGGAGTCTGGATCAACCTGGTTCTAGTAACGTTGGTATATAATGCCTAGAATATGCTCTATGCACTGTAGTTGGTCTGGATGTCGTACGTGGCATTTTCGATGGTGATTGGCGTGCTAGCGATAGATGCAGAAGGGAGCCAACGGCTGTTGGGAAATCGCTTAATTTTGTGACTGCCTTATGAGTATGACCCAACTTTAATCGCAACCGGTAAATATTAATCGTTATTTCAGTAGGTGTACTACTAATACGCGCCACTCGTCCGAGCTCCGTGCAGGATATACCGCACATGCTCATGCATCTGTGTGCCAGGAAATAGAATGCATCGAACTCGCGCACATTTTTAAGATGCGTTTCCTTTTAGGGAAAAAAAAAACGTGTCTGCCTTCACTTCACATACTGTTCAGAATTAATTTGATATCCAGCAATGATATAGCTAACTATCGTTTACAGCGAGCTAAATTCGAACTTTGGTTGACCGCTGTTTATTTCAGCGGCATTTTAGTTTAAACGCGAGCCGCCGGGATACCGAATGTAATTAAGAAATATTTTTTCATTATTCGGGCCTCAGGCTGGAGAACGCAGTGTTAGCCACTGTAACAGCGTCTCTGGTAGGAGTGTAGGCAGAAATGGTTTTATAGCGGAGGCCACCACCTTTAAATGATCATTACTCACTCTCTATGCCATGGCGAAAAAATTTTCAGGGGAGGAGAAGTGGGGACGAGCCTGGTGTGCCACCCTCTGGCTAGCGTCCGGATAGTACGTCCCTTATGATATTTACAAAGAAGGAGCGGAGGTGCGAAGTGGTCTGTGTGGCCGGTGGTTGCAATGATTCAGTGTAATTCGTGTGGCAGGAAAAATCACGCGTAATGCTTGTGACGTCAAAAAAAAAGAGAGAAAAAGAAGATGGAGGGAAAGCACATTCTCCCGGTTGCGTCATCTAAAACGCAGTAATTTGAGATGCCACTAGGAGACAAGTAAGAATTCCTCCTTTATCTGGGTTCGAAGCCTAGAATATTGCGCTTTATTTGCATCTTGAATTTCTACGTAAGACAGAGTGACGATTTCTTAGTACTGATCGTTATCTCTACTGTTACAACCAATATCGAATATAACGAATTGATTTGGTATCGCGATGCTACTTCGCTATAACGAGACATTTACGTCCCAAACTTAACCCGTAATTGATAACTGTGATCGCACCCTGAACTTCTGGAATAGTTTATAATTGAAATTTTTGTTTAAGTGCGCGCGCGCACATGCACGCACGCACACACACGCATACACACACACACACACACACACACACACACACACACACACACACACACACACACACGCAAAAGACGGACAGAAGATGCTAGATGCTGACGTAATCCAACGGGCCCAACTTGCCATCTTTCTGGTATACTTTATCCCGGTTTTTGCGTGACGAGGACTATTTCGCGAGTGTCATGATCAGGGGCGTGACCCGTTATGCATGTTATGCATGTTCGTGCGTTTGTGTGTCTCTGTGTGTGTGCGTAAATAAAATTGTAAAAACCGAATCGGGCGTAGGCTTTAACTCTCCAAGCCACCACCCCGTCTGGGCTGTTAGTCATGATTAGTGGACACTCACGCCGAAGCACCGAGCGGTGAAGCGTTTTATTTGGCGACGTCGAAGCAGTGCTGCTCTGCGTCCGGTCCTCCCATGACGGTCTCGACGTTCTTGGCGCAGCGCGGCCTGCGCGTCACGAAGAAAGGCAGGCAGAACCAGTTGACGAATCCGTCGTCGGCGTCCGCCTCGTGCAGGCGCCTCTCCTCTTCGTCCTCGTCGCCCCAGAACTGTCCGTACCAGTCGAGAAAGCGCTGAACTGGCTTGCACGACAGCAACCGGTCGCGCAGCGCCCGCAGCCTCGGTCGCCGTACCGACTGGCCGCTGCTGCTCTGGTCTCCGCAGTCCGTAGGCATCAGAACCCGACACAAGCCTGCGCGATACATCCGTGCGTTGCTTGTATCATATGTGTGCGCCAGAAGTGGGCAGCCCCGCCCGTGGGTGCCGGTAGGGGGTGCAACAGGGGCACTTGCCTCCTCGATAAAGCCTCGCCATCACTTGCCCTCACCCAAGCTTCATCAGTGCTCTCCCCCTCCTGCGATGCAACCCAGGTTTGCAGCCCCCAAAAGAAATTTCTGCTGGCAACCATGGCCCCATCTACCCTACAGCAAAAACAAGAGAGTGTACGGAGGCACACGACTTTATTCGTTAGAAACCCAATAACGTGGATTGGAGAACGGAAAGAAAGGGGCACTTCTATTAGAATCGAAACTACGATTTGCCTTATCTCAAGATACACTGGCCCAAGCATAGCTCCGTTCTGCAACCAAGTGAACCGCATGCGTATTTGGCTTTTGGCGGCAGAACGGAACTTCAAAGTGATACATGCCATCGTCAGCACGAGTCGCAGCGTATAGTTACCTCGAAAACTGTCAAGGCCTTAATTGTCTGTAGCAGTGTAGCAACGCAGTCATCATCATCAGCCTGACTACGTCTACTACAGGACAAAGGCCTCTGCCATGTTCCGCCAGTTAACTCGGTCCTGTGCTTGCTGCTGCCAATTTACACCCGCAAACTTCTTAATCTCGTCTGCCCACCTAACCTTCTGTCTCCCCCTAACCCGCTTCCCTTCTCTGGGAATCCAGTCTGTTATACTTAATGACCAGCGGTTATCCTGTCTACGCGCTACATGCCCGGCCCATGTCCATTTTCTCTTCATGATTTCATGATTCCTTAACCCCCCTTTATATCCTTAACCCCCGTTTGTTCCATAATCCACTCTGCTCTCTTCTTGTCTCTTAACGTAAAGTACTAGCACCTATATTTCGGGAAGGCCCGCTAAACGTGAGCAGTTGCCTCCTTCAACCTCGGGCTCGCCAGACAAGTTCTTCAACTTGAAGTCTCTCGCAGCTCACCGAAGAGGCTCAATGTTTGCGCGCACAGCGCAACTTTTTTCGCTGTTTCGCCAGTGAAATTCTTTTGCCGATGAGAATGACGTGTTCCGCGCGCCCAGCACACTTTCGTCTTCGACGAAGCAAAGCGATCCGACGTTACAATCAAGAAACTTCAGCAGAGCGCCAAGCGAAAGCTCCGCGTTGACTCTGTTAGCCGCCCCGCCGCGGTAGTCTAAAAACAAAAATAGCAAACAGCAAAACAGATTAACAACAAAAATCGGCTGCTGACCCGCAGGTCGCGGGATTAAATCCCGGCTGCTGCGGCTGCATTTCCGATGGAGGCGGAAATGTTGTAGGCCCGTGTGCTCAGATTTGGGTGCACGTTAAAGAACACCAGGTGCTCAAAATTTCCGGAGCCCTCCATCCACTACGGCGTCTCTCATAATCATATCGTGGTTTTAGGGACGTTAAACCCCACAGGTCATCATGACTCTGTTATGCCTTCTTCGTTTTTTTCCGACCAGCCTCGCCAGCACACGAAGTGTTTTAATGAGAACTAGATATCTTCTAGTTCACTGCAGACTCAACCAACAGGTGTAGTCGAGGAAAATGGGTGGCGCTGCGATCGACCCCCCCCCCCCCCCCCTGCTCTTAAATGCCAGTTAATCAGGGGTGAGGTATCGTTCAGAAATCGTGTATGCATTGCAAGATTAACGCGAAAATGTTTCAGCTGTTGAAGCTCGCGCTACATTAGCAGCGCCCATGCGTCACGTGTTGTCTGCTGGTCCATTCATTTCACCTTCAATTCGTGAACCCAGAGTTGTCTCTGCGTGAACTGGTTCGAGAAGGCGCTGCACTTCGGCATTCGTTTCAAGAGTTGAACATGGCGGCAGAGGCACCGCAACAAGTGCAGCTGTTGTGTAAGGCTAGTTCATGAATTCTCTGCACCTGCTCGTTAGATAAGGTCCGTTCGATTTAGCTGCACCAATCAAAACCAGTTCACATTTGTGCACGCGAAGTTCAGAAGTCGTGCAGCGCAAGTTCAGTGGTGCAGGCACAGTGCGACACCCGAAACGAATGACAACGGGCCGACAAGGTGCAGGCCTTATTTCTGTCTGCTTAGTTTACACCAATCAGCTAACATTGACCGATGGCAAACCGCACATGCGTACAGTTTGTGAGGCTCAAACATCTTGGCAAAACACATCGCGTTAGTGGATGCGGATATGGCGATTACGCCAAAGTGCAGCATCGTCTGCTCAGCTGCACGCGCGGCTGCACCATGCTGGCACCGTCAGCGTAGGAGGTTCGGTAAAATCGTGAACCAGCACTGCACCTCTTTTGCACCTTTTGAAACAAATGGCAGGGTTCAGAGGTCGTCAATGCTGCACCGCTGAAACGAATGGCAAGGTGCAGCACGTCGTGAACTAGTTTATGTGGTGCAGGTGAATCGAATATAGCCCGTGTAGCGCAAGATGGTTGCAGCTGCAGCAGACGACATAGCTGATTGCAATCGTGTATCTTTTAATGGCGTCCAACAAGTGAGACAGTGAACATTTTCTGCTAGACACATGCCAAGCAACGTATGCGGCGTCGTATTTTACGAATGACAGCCTCCACAACTCGCAAGACAGCCAACGAGTAGCATAGCAGTTGCACGACATCTGCGCTAAAGCGTTCGGTTCACGTCTCGGGCTGCTGCATTTGCTGTAAACGTCACCTGCACGAAGACAGCACTCAGACGACACCACGGTGCCACCGTGTCAGAAAGTGCAGGGTGATTCGAATGGACCTATGCCCAGCTCACCACGGACGAATTTTTGGAGAACTGCAAACCGACGCGCCTCCTGGGGGCTATGACAAAAAAGAAAAAAGCACCTCGCCCACGGCTGTGCCTCGCCACGGTCGCCGCAGTCATCGTTGTTATTACGCGATTCGCCGCC